TGTGTCTATTCGAACTATGCACTGCCTCCAGGCACCTCCCCTCCAGCCTTGTGCCACACTGTGGCTCGAACCCCATCGGTGGCTTGAACCATGGAGAGCCTTTGGAGGTTACTTTTTTTTTTTTTTAATAATTGTAATTATTTAGATAATTCCATGGATAGCTGGAAACTGGATGGTCCAGGCAGGTGGTTGGTCCACAACCAAGGCCCACCACGCCATGACCAGAAATCTAGGGAGAAACATATATTTTGAGCTGATTAGCATGCGCCCATTTTAGTTTGCCTGGTAGCTGAAGCTGATACACTATCGGAGGGGATGCAATTCACAATGGAGTACAGACCCACCCACTGGACATCCAGAGTTAATCATTTCCAAAGATTACCCCAAGTCCTTGGATGACTAAAAGGATGTGGTAGAGGAATTATTTTTGGCCAGGGGAGAGATGGCAGTGGGCTTCACCAAAATATCTTCCCCAAAATATCCTTATACTGAGATTTTATGGGTTTGGAGGTAGTAGCGGTTGAGCAGCGTTTTATGTTTTGAATTCCAGGAGTTCTTCTTTGTAAAAAATTCAAGACATTATGAATTATGCAAAAGATTTAATCTGTGAAACATGTACCGATTTTAATTTTTTATTGTTTTTACTATGGTATACCAGTGGGCTGAGGCGGTCCATTATGGCATAGGGTTCTATTCATTTTGATTCCAGGGAGTGGCCCCCTTTTTCCAATTTGTTTTTGTATTAAGCTGTTTTGTAGCTGGGATAGAGAGCTTAATTTATTTTTAATTACCTTTAGGTTTATAGTATGTATAATTTTTGCTTTAAATTTTTTTTTTAATATGTTTGCTGCCAGAGGATGTTTTTTGCAGCATTTAGTACACACCAGTGTTAACAACACAACAAACAACACAAGACAAAACAGAACACAAAACAAAATTTCTATTGTGACAGTAGATTTATGGTATTTTGGGTTGCTTTTTAGCTGGAATTAGCTTTTTCTGATTTTTTGAAAGACAAAAAGAACATGTGTCTACCCCTTTGGGGGTGGCAGATTATTGCTTAAAATATTTTTTATATATATAAATACCCTTGCTGATTGCCAGCAAAACAGAGAAATTACCCCCATATTTTTCTGTGTTTGTTTTGTAGGCAGGCCAGGTTTTAACGGCTTTTGCCTTTATTAGGTAGGTAATTTGCATTGACACAGATGCTTTTTGGCTTGCTTTTGGATTTAAGCAAGAGACTGTGTTTTAAAAGGGACATAATTAACTTTTACCAGAGTTTTGATTACTTTTAATTTTTAACTTTTTTGCTTTTAAAACACAGTGATTTGAAAAGGAAAACACAACCTATTGTGGATCCCTTTGGAGCCCTTATAGGATTTTAATTCAGTAGCATGGTAGGTTTGCATTTTTTAATTTTTTTTATAATTTATACCATATATGTCCTGGGGAAAATGCCCTTTTTTTATATACGGCTTTGTTCTTACATAGCTGTATATAGATTTTTTTTTATATATACATTTGGAGCAGTTAAGTTCCAATAGAACCCCCTTAGGTTTTTAAAATAAATTTGACTAAATTGTCCATAGTCAAATGATTTTAATTGGACAGAATTTTTTTGCCTGGATTGTTTACAGCCTTTTTTCAAAAAAAAAAAAGCCCCCCCCCCTTTTTTGTAGAATAGCTGCAAAGAAATTAAGAATTTAAAAAAAAATTATAATGTTTGATTAATTTTTTTTAGCTTTTGCAGAGTTAATTTTTTACTTTTAATTACTTGCTTATTTTTAAAAATGACATCTTAATTAACTTGGATTTTACTATAAGTACTGTTTTAGGGATTTAAATTTCCCATGTTTGCGCTTATTTATTTTTTTTAAACTCCAACCACTATGCCCTTAGGGCTTTTAACCCGTTTTCCAATTTCAAGGTTCCGCCCAAAATTGAGGATCCTCACAAAGGGAGAGATCAAAGCCAGCCCTCACAAGGGTCACCCGATTCATCCCCTGTGAGACTGGCCACCTGGACCGAACCCACGGTCAACTGACATTTTAACTGCTCAATTTCCTTTTCATGGCGAGCACACTGCCGTTGTGGTGGTGTATGCTGGGCACGAATGGTCAAATCTTTAGCGAGTCCCTGAAGGACCGGTACTTGCTTAGCCAGTGCTTCCAGGTGGGTGTGTTCCACCTTTTCTGCCTGGAAGTCCTGTCTCAAGGCTTGCAACTTGTCCTGGGCATAGTCCTGGGTTGCTGCCTGGTTAGTGATTTGCGCTTTCAGTTGCTCAATTTCCACCAGCTGCTGCAGTCCAGATTAATCCTACAGCTGCCCCTAGGTTTTTACCCTTCTGCTTTTTATACTTGGCATACAGGTCTAACAAGTCCTACCAAGTCTGCACTCTTTTCGGAAGCTCCGCTACGAAACCCCAGGGATTATATCCTACCTTGATGAGAGCCCTCTCCAACCGGGAGAGGTCCTCACCCCCCTTGGAAAGAGACAGCAGGTTCCCGTCCCTCTTTGCTGCCTCTCCTGAGGCTCAGGCATCAGGTCCACCAGCCTCCCGTGATGCCAGCTGACCGGGCAGCCGGACTATCGTGTCCGCGCTCCCGAATGCCCGTACGTCCAGCCCTGAACCCCTTATTGATGCCTTTGCCCATGACTGCAGGATTCCCGAGTCTGCAGTTGTACCCTTCTGTTTCCTAAATATGTTGTTACAATCCGTTAGTACACTTCTTAAGATTTTTTAATTACTTGAGATTTTACATTGCCCACGCCGGCACCGGGGCTTACTATGTTCATCTCCCTGGCTGGAGGGAGAGATGCTAAGCCTCCCTCCGTATTCCTCGGTCCAATATCACCAAGGGCCTGTTGCCGGCACAGAGGGCCTGAGGGGGCAACAGCAGGGTTCGTTGCCTGGTGTGCTTTGCACCAATGAACACACCAGGGTGGAGAAGCAGACAAAGTTTATTCAAGAGCTCTGAATAGGTACTAGGAGACCAGCATGTCTCAAATCAAGTGCACGGAGACAACCAGTTTTCCCTTTTTATTCTTTTTTTTCCTTCCCTACCTCCTCCCCCTGCAGTAGTTACATTAAACGACTTGGCTGCATAGCTTGTTCGCTATGTTCCCTTCTGCAAGTAATCTTGTCCTTTAGCTAGAAGCATGTAGCATTCCATTATAACTACCGCTTCCCAGCTGCTGGCCTGTGAGGTTAGTAAAGTTTAACATGCAGGGGCTTTGATTCACTTTGGCCTAGTGTGGTGGGTTTTCATCGACTCTCGTGGTCTTCCACCCCCCTGAGTTACCTAGGGTGATGCCTAGTGACACCAACAACTCTCTCCTTTGAGAACACTCAAAAGGCACCGGCTTGAGTTTTCTCATAATTTGAGGACAAAATGTGATTTAAGGCCATGGTCTTAGGATCATTGATTAAAGGGAAAAAGGAGGTGTCTTGACTTCTAGAGGCGGTACATACTTTAAACATTTCAGGCATGAGAAGAGAGCTAGGGTGAGGAAACAAAGTACGAGACCAGTAAGCAGGAGGCGGACAAGGCCACCTCCCAAGCCCCCTAGACTAGGGAGCCAGCTTCAGAGAGTATCAAATAGAGTGGGTTTCTGTTCCTGGGCCTTCCACTGATTGAAGGCCTGTTCAGAGGACAGGATGTGCTTGTTAATGTCCTCTGCGTTATTTGGGATGTATGTGCAGCATTCATTACCAATAAGGTCACATGCTCTGCCCTGGGAGGCCAGGACATAATCCAGGGCCTGGCAATTTTGCAGAGCCAGTAATCAAAGCTGGTACAGCTTGGAGCTTATGCCTTTTTCTATGGCCAGGGTGTCATTGGCAAACTGGGTAAGGAATACAGAGAGCCTTTTATAGAGCTGGGCCAGTCGTCCCATGCCATAGGATGAGAGGAGAATCATACCAAGTCGATCTCCTTTGCTAATAGGTTCAGGGGTGGCATATAGAGACTGGCGCTGTTGGGGATGGCCACTTGGGGCCTGGGGGAGAACTCGCAGAGGAGGGGCCAGAAACCCTAGGTAATAGCTACCATACCAGCAGTTGGGCAGTGTCTTATAGGTGCTGTGGCCACATATATAATACATTCGGCCATTCCCTAATATGGAATTGTTGCCACTTTTACTTAAGCTTGCCGTGTATCGTGAAAAGGTTCGGGGCACGTCGCCTACCTGGTGACCTGTGGCATTATACAGGGGCATACTGGTGTTAACATCAGGGGATAGGTAGTATTGGCAGGTACTGTTGCCGGCAAACCATCAGGGAAGGGTGCCGCTGTTGTGCTTAAATTTTTGGTAACATAACAGGCCTACAGGGGATGAGGCTAATTTAATGGCTTGTGGAATGGTGGTAGCATTGTTAAATGGCCTCCAGCTGTCATTTCCTAGCAGGCTAAAGGGGGCTTCTATGGTGCAATTTTGTTTTACCACTTCATCCCCAAGCTTAGAAGAGTTCCACGCCAGCCAGAACTGACAGGTGTCGGACCAATTTTGGGGAATGGCTCTCTAGGGTAGCCCTGCTGAATGGTGAGGGATTTGGGAACATATCCAACAATTGGAGAGATTGAATTCCTGGGCAAAGGCAACCTTCAGGGCCTCATACGTGTTTGTTTCCAAGTTGTTGGGCTTCCTCCCCATCCTGCATGTGCTTGGGGGAAAATGGGAGTTAACGAGAGGAATGCTCCCATGGCACAAAGCAGCATGGTGGCAGACCTTGGACCTGAACCCATGCTGTAATTACAATTCCCCAAATGCCCACAAAAGAATAAATTACCAACAGCAGACAGATTAGAAACAAAAGGGACCAGGCCAATAGGTTAGGCTGGCCACCTGAAAACAAACACAACCAATGCTCAGAGTTCTCGCGGAGAGTGTGCTGCGACTGTCCAAAGGGAGCACAAGGCAGTCCCAGCAAACCTTATTGTCGTTTAAATAACAGTTTAAGTCCCAGATCGTTGCTGGAAGTTTTTTTTCCAGCAGGCTGGATGGTCCACTGTTCAGGAGCGGGCACTGCCTTCAGACGGGAGTGCTGAATCCAGTTCTTGTGTCCTTCGACCTTTGCTGCTGTATGGGAAACCAACAGGACGGCGTGGGGTCCCTTCCACCGCTCTTGGAGAGGCTCGTCCTTCCACCGCCGACCGAGTATGGAATCGCCTGGCTGCAAGGAGTGGATCAGGGCATCCAGCGGAAGAGGCTGTGAATCTTTGGTGTACCTGTGGAGAGAAGAAAGAACAGCAGATAGAGAGCACATGTACTGAGATAAGATGTACCCCATTTCCCACTCCCCTGCCAGAACTGGTGTACCGTTCAGAGGCTATACCCTTCCAAACATAATCTCGAAGAGACTGAGCCCTAATCTGCCCTTAGGGAGAGTGCGGACGCGGAGCAAAACGAGGGGCAAAGCATCAGGCCATCGAAGAGATGCCTCCTGACAGACCTTTGAGAGGTGTCGCTTAAGAGTCTGATTTGTATGCTCACTACCCCACTGGCCTGCGGTTGCCATGGTGTGTGGAGCTTCCAAGGGATCTGTAGGGCATCTGATATCTTTTGAACGACTTGTGACGTGAAGTGTGTTCTGTTGTCAGATTCCATCCACCGGGGGAGCCTGAAGCGGGGAATGATCTCCCTGACAAATTTGAGGGCCACCCTTTTGGCAGTGTTGTTATGGCATGGGAAGGCTTCGGGCCATCCGCTGAATCGATCCACCAAGACGAGGAGGTATCTGAACCCTTGGGTCTGGGGGAACTCAGTAAAATCTATTTGCCAAACCAATCCCGGGCCTGGGGTAGGTTCCAGAGTGACTGGTGGCACTGACATTCCCGGTCGAGGGTTATTCTTTTGGCAGAGCAGACATTTAGCCTGTACCTGGGATGCTATGAGTCTAAGTCCAGAGGTTAGAAAATATTTACTCATAAGCTGGGTAAGAGCCTCCCTGCCAGCCTATAATTCTTTGTTTCTTCACCAGGGTCAGTTCTTAATGTCTTTTGTAGTCAGGAATCCTTGGACTTTGTGGTTTCAATGAAGCAAGTGTTCCTTTTTCTCTTTTCCTGAAACAGTCATGGTTCAGCATCATACGGGGGAGAGGTTACTAGCACATCACCCTGTAATGGTTTTGCTTTTTCTAGAAAAATCCAAAGGCACAGTAGGTCTGTCAGTGGACAAGGGAGAGATTATTAGCACTTCACCTTGTCTTCCCCCCCCCCCCTTCTTTTTCCTGCTGTCCAGAAGGCACAGCAGAGCTAGAAGGAGAAATAGGCTTATCATCAGTTGGAGAATCCTCCTGAGGTGGAGGGGTCTTTTTACAGGGAGAAGCATGGGTCCAGGTAGGCAGTCCTTGGCACTTCACAGTGGTGTTGGTGGTTAACAGGACTTGGAAAGGGCCTTTCCAGTGTGGAGCCAAAGCAGTCTTTCGTTGATGGACTTTACGTAGACTCAGTCTCCTTGTTTCAATGAACGGCAGGGCTGCTAGGGTCTTTGGTTAGCACTTCTTTTAATCTATGAGAAAAGAAGCCTAACACATTTCCTTAATGCCTGGCAGTGTTTTGCAGATCTCATAGTTGCTTGGGCACATTCAGGCCCCCTTTCTCTTGGTTGTCAGCCAAGTCTTAGCTGTGAACAATGTCCTTGGATGGGGCCAGCATCTTATCTTTGGACTGAGCTTGCTAGCTATATTTTTTCCTCAGTTAACTCATTCTGTTCTTTTTCCTTCTCCCCTTCTTGGCTTCTTTTAACCTACAAAGGAAACTTCCACTCTTCACTCATACACCTTTTCCCAACAATGAACACGTACACATTGCTATTATACACCCTTCCAGTAAAATAACTTCTATACAGAGCTTTGGAGCAACAAACCAGGATGAGCACACCCACTTTTGAGGAATCCACTCGGTACAAGCTCTGGTGTCCAATAGCTTTCCTTTTTAAAACCTTAAATGCTTTGTCGGCTTCTGAGGACCAGTGAAAGGGGTCGTGATCCGCTCCCTTAACGCATTCGTTCAAGGGTTTAGCCCACAGTCCAAACTCTGGGGTCCATATTCTGCAGAAGCCTGCCATACCCAGAAATGCTGTAAGCTGTTTACAATTGCTTGGGATAGGAACTTAGCAGATAGCTTCCTTCCTTTCGTTTGAAAGCTGACGCTCCCCCTGCCTTATGTGAAACCCTAAGTATTGTACTTCTGGGAGGGCAATTTGAGCCTTACTCCGTGCTACTAGATATCCTCGGAGTCCAACAAAGTTCAGGAGGCTCACAGTGGCTTTAAGCCAAGGGGTTGGACCCACGGTGGCAGTTAACAAGTCATCTACATATTGCAGGAGGAGGACCTTGTCCTCATTGTTCCACTCCTCCAATCTCTGGCCCAGGGCCTGGCCAAAAAGGGTGGGGGAATTTTTAAATCCCTGGGCCAACACTGTCCAGCAAAGCTGCTTTTTAACCTTCCTTTTGTCCTTCCACTGGCTCCACTCTGGGGCTTGCATGGCTGAGGGCTCAATTGCAAAGGTCATTATCCAGGCATTCTCGGGGGGTAAGGTAAGGGTTACTTCATCTTGGGTGAAATGCAGGGTGGCGCCTAAGCGACAAAGCAGGTCCCGTCCCAGTAGAGGCGTTGGACAATCGGAGAGGTAGACCAGTTTGGCCCGCAGGGTCATTAGGGTTCCACCTGGGATCTGCTAGGGGGACCATGTCCGCGGGCACCGGGACGTGATTTGGATCCAGGTCATGTCTCCGCTGTGCCTCCTCCATTGCTTTGGACATAAGCAGATTCTGCTCCACTTCAGACAACAGAGTCCTCATGAGGATATTACAGTCATCCCAGTCAGGCTTGTGGCTGGCCAGACACCCTTCAAAAACTGAGATAAACTTGCTTGGGTTCGTGAAGAATTCCCGTGCCTGTGCCTTAAAGGCTGCTAGGTCGACTGGGTTAAAAGGCACATGGGTGTAAACCTGCATAGTAGTGGCCTGATTCCTATCCGAGCCATGTCTGGACACCACGGTCTCGGTGATCAACGGATAAAATCCCACAGAGATTTCTGGAACCCAAGACACCCTTTCTTTATATGGTGGGGGTGTGATAGCCAAAGGGGACACCGGACCTGCCATTACAGCTGTGGGGGGGTTCTGGGGACTAACAGTAGCTACTACCGAACCTGTCAGAGTCAAATTACACTTTTGCAAGATATCTGTTCTATTTTGTAAAGCCATAAACAATTGCGCATGCATATGTTCGTTCCATTTACACGTTCGCTGACAAAACAGGAGTAATTGAAGGATCGCGTTATAATTAAGTGATCCTTCCCGTGGCCACCTTTCCTGGTCCTCTAGCTGATATTGAGGCCAGTCTACTGTACAGAACTTTTTTAATCTACTTTTAGTTATTGGATTTGCGTCAAACACTTTCCAATTTGCTAGAATGCATTCTAAGGCCGTACACCATGTCCTGCCTGTCGTACTCTGTCCCTGCCCCATGGCCTAGAGTGACACTGGGCATCCACAGGTCCTAACAGGCAAAAGTCCACACCCCTGGACTGTTCCTACCTTATCCAAGGGACCGGTTCCTCACCGTCACCCTCAACCGCTTCTCCACTATCCGAGCACGTTGCACCGTTGTGCCCTCTGGAGTCGATCAAACCGCGTCTCCGCCGAGGCCCCCGATGAAGTCACTGGTGTATGCTGGGCGTCGGTCGTCGCAATCCGTCGGCCGCCAGGAGGGATCCAGGCAAGGCTAAATTTCAGCCTCGAGCCCACCCAGGGATGCCAAAACTGTTGCTGGCACAGAGGGCCCGAGGGGGGCAACAGCAGGGTTCGTTGCCCGGTGTGCTTTGCGCCAATGAACACACCAGGGTGGAGAAGCAGACAAAGTTTATTCAAGAGCTCTGAATAGGCACTAGGAGACCAGCATGTCTCAAATCAAGCGCACTGAGACAAGCAGTTTTCCCTTTTTATTCTTTTTTTTTGCCTTCCCTACCTCCCCCCTTCCTCCCCCTGCAGTAGTTACATTAAACGACTTTGGCTGCGTAGCTTGTTCGCTATGTTCCCTTCTGCAAGTAATCTTGTCCTTCAGCTAGAATCATGTAGGTTTCCCAGCTGCTGGCCTGTGAGGTTAGTAAAGTTTAACCTGCAGGGGCTTTGGTTCACTTTGGCCTAGTGCGGGGGGGGGGCTTCATTGACTCTCGTGGTTTCCACCCCCCCGAGTTACCTAGAGTGATGCCTAGTGACACCAATAGGCCCATACACCAAATGCCCCCCCTGGGCTGAGCAAGAAACCCTAAATTCTCCTCTTATACTCAAGCATACAACGGCTGAGAGTGTATGAACCAAGGATTTTCCCTTTCGCTTGGAGCGAGGATCTCTAAGACCTCCTCCCATTACCCGGCACTCTTACGACCCGGGGTAGACCCACTTGCACCCTTCCCCCACTGACCAGGGTGGAGAGAACAATGCTAAACCCCTCTCCGGTTCTCAGCCATGCTACAACTGAGGGTGGGGCACACCTGTAATCATCAAATCCTCAACATGAAATACCAACAATGCCAGGCATAGCAAACATGAAATACCAAGGGCAGAACAGTTGCTGCGCTCCGCAGGCCTCCCTCCCCCCCGCAATTCTTCAACAAAACTGACAGATTTTTGTTACCAATCTGCCTGAGGCATCAGCTGATTAGCCTGAGGCCACAGGATTGTTTGGGGAGGAGATAACGAAATACACCAAGTGTCTAAGTTTTAAAGCTTTATTAATAAAATAATAAAAACAGCGGAGAGTGCTGGGGTGTTCCCCACGTCACTCAAAGGAGAGAAGAAAGCATTAGTGCCACAGGCCCTAACCCACTTTCATACTTACACACGCATGACCCAAGGCTGGCCAAGCCTGGGTGTAAGAAGAAGAGGGAGGGGTGGACAGGAGTTCTTGTCCTGGGCCCAAGTCGTCCGGCGTCTGCTGTGATCTCCGAATTGCTCCAGCTCTCAAGAGGGTTTTTAAGTCCAGGGTTCCTTTGGGGGTATTTCATTCCGCGACCTGATTCTGGTGCTTTTTGTACCAGTCCAGACCAGCTTTCTGTGGTCTCCTCAACTTTCCCAAAACACACCAGCTCTAGGGACGCGCAGCTCTGCTTCCCCCCCTCATTGTCTTGCCTGTGTTTATTTTTACAGCCCTGGTTTAGTGTACTTTTTCTATGGCTGTTTGTGGCTGAGTGGGAGATAAACGCAGCTGCAGATTTCTTGTCTAGCACCGTGACCTTGGACTGGGGCCAGCATAGCTACGTCTTTTTGTCTGACTGCGCTAGCTAGCTACAGTGTGGAGTTAACCCATTCTCTGCTGTCTTCCTCCTTCCCCCTCTTGTACTCTGCAAAGGAATCTTCCATTCCACACTCTCACCTTTGACCCTCCCCAAAATGCCCTGCGATGCTTGCAACAGCGTTAGCAATATACAGTGCTGATCTGTCTTCCCCAGGGGAACCCCTTGAGGGAGGGGGCCATTGGGGTGTGACAATATAAGGAGTTTGTAACTGGTGGGGTGACTCAGCAGAAAAAGGACAGTAATCCTCCGCAAGGATTTTTCTCAGCTGGAAGAATCTTTTCCTGTTTAAATCAAGGCATGTTAGCATTAGCAAAACAAACATAAGCTTCCCCAGCCTAGGGTTCACCTATTCCCCTGAACCTGGAGCTCCTCCTTTCCACACCTGTTCAAGGGAAGAGGGGAAGTCAGTTTAATCCCTTGCTTACTGAGGTGAGCATCCTCTGTCACAGTCCTTGAGACTGTATGCCACAGGCAGGAAGGAAATCAAGAGATCCTTCTCAGCTTTGATAGCAGTCACCAAATCCTGCCTGGCTCTCTCATCCCAGACTGTCTTTGCCCAACCTCAGACCCAGGTGCCTCTTGCTGCTAAGAGCTCTCACCTTAATTCAGCAGGGAAACTCAGTGGCTTCATTGATTCCGAAGATGCAGAATGAAGCGGTGATGCCGTCCTCCTGATCAGAATTTTGACCATTCATCAGTACATTCTCATACAAGAGAGACACTTGCCTCTTAAGATTGGTGAAAGCGAGAGCACTCTTGGGAGCACTGCTCAGCGACCATCAGTGTCTTCTTCAGAGAAGACAAACTACCATGTCCATGAAGTATGCTGTACTCCAGCCACTTCTTAACAAGAGTGCTGGGCAACTTACCTACATCAATAAGAACATAAGAGCAGCCATACTGGGTCAGACCAAAGGTCCATCTAGCCCAGTATCCTGTCTTCCAACAGTGGCCAATACCAGGTGCCCCAGAGGGAATGAACAGAACAGGTAATCTTCAAGTGATCCATCTCCTGTCGCTGATTCCCAGCTTCTAGCAAACAGAGGCTAGGGACACCATCCCTGCCTAACAGCCATTGATGGACCTATCATAGAATATCAGGGTTGGAAGGGACCTCAGGAGGTCATCTAGTCCAACCCCCTGCTCAAAGCAGGACTGATCCCCAGACAGATTTTTGTGCCAGATCCCCAAATGGCCCCCTCAAGGATTTAACTCACAACCCTGGGTTTAGCAGGCCAATGCTCAAACCACTGAGCTATCCCTCCCTAAATGACTTGTTAGAATCTAGAACCTGCCTGTTTTATAAAAGGCAAATAAGACTTCTGGCATGTTTGTTTCTTCCCTGTGATATTTTAAGTCATCCTAAGTTTATTTTTCTGAGAATAGAGACCATACAGACTTGTGTATAAGCTCAGCCACAATAAAACAACTGCATTAGTAGGTCTTTAAAAATAGAATTCTCATGTATTTGCTTAGTATGGTTACACTGTAACTGATTACACTGCTAATGACTCAGGAAGTAACAGGGACTTCTGCCCCAATGTCAGTGAGGTGAAAATGGGACCTGTGTGGAAGTTGGGCAGAAATTGTGCTAGACTGATGCTCCACCTGCAGCCCTAGTACTGCTCACCTTAGCGGGTCTTCAGGAGACTCAACCTTAGCAGCCTACTCCAGTCTTACAGTGTGGAACAGCCTCCTGGGACCTGCAGAGGTGATAGCCCCAATCCCTGTGGATGTCATCAATTCTGACATGAGGCCTGCAAAATTCTGAGAGGTACAGCTAAACTTAGCAATGTCTCCCAAGTGAATTACCCAATTGCCAAGAGGCACTCCTCCTCCTGGAGACAAACAAATCCAGCCAATGTGGCATTTGTAGTCTCAGGTGTTTTAGAGGGAGAACAGCACTCCAAAAAGTTGGAGGCCTTTTCAGAAAGAAGAAGAAGAAGAAGAAGAAGAAGAAAAAAAAAACCACACATTTTTCAAATTCTTTGTAAGCATGAAAGGCCTTACATCGCTGAAATGCTTTAATTAACCAACTTTTCAGATATGTTCTTCTATAAGAGTAGACTACTTGTGAGTAATTTCACGCAGAAAGTATTTGTTTTGAGGTTGGAGTGTGAAATTGGGCATAGTCCTGTTTATTTGAACAGGACATTGCACCATCCTTGAAGAGAATATGCACAGGAAGTGACAAGAAAACTGTTTTAATACTCAGGCCTCTCTTTCTCCCCCCCCCCCTTCTATTTACTCTCCTTGTAGACGGAATGGGAAGCTTTGGAATTGACTGATCATCAGTGGGCATTAGAGGATGTGGAAGAAGAGCTCATGGCAAAAGATCTACACTTTGAAGGCATGTTTAAGGAAGAGTTACAGACGTCTATCTTCTGAAAGCAGAGCTGAATTTGAACATATGTTTTGCATTTTCATGCAAAAGGCATTTATAAAAAAAAAGTTACTTACTAAAATACACTGTACTTTTTGATGCTCAGAATAAAAGAGACCATGTTCAGAATTGCAGTTATCTAACTTCCACTAATGTGAGACTCAGAAGAGTTATTGTTCCCATCTGTCTTCAAGGTATATTTGATCCAAAGGGGATCACTATAGGTTTCCAATTACTAGGAAAGGTTTTTATTTATCTTTTTTGAAGACATGCATCTTTCAGTAATGGCAGCTAAAACAAGAAGCTTATTGACAAGCAGTAACTATCTAGTCCTATCATAAATAAATTAAAAATAGGGTTTTGGAGATAAAGACCTCAAAACTTTAGTTTGGAAAAGAGAAGACAGAGGGGACATGATAGCAGTTTTCAGGTATCTAAAAGGGTGTCATAAGGAGGTGGGAGAAAACTTAGCCTCTAAGGATAGAGCAAGAAGCAATGGGCTTAAACTGCAGCAAGGGAGGTTTAGGTTGGACATTAGGAAAAAGTTCCTAACTGTCAGGGTGGTTAAACATTGGAATAAACTGCCTAGGGAGGCTGTGGAATCTCCATCTCTGGAGATATTTAAGAGTAGGTTAGATAAATGTCTATCAGGGATGGTCTAGACAGTATTTGGTCCTGCCATGAGGGCAGGGGACTGGACTCGATGACCTCTCGAGGTCCCTTCCAGTCCTAGAGTCTATGAAAAACTTCACTACAACACTTCAAACATCAAATAGATCAAGTAATGCACTAGTCACCTGTATTTTCTCCTTTAAAACGTCATCCAGACAGCTGGAAATCCAATTGCTCTTTGATGTTAAAACAAAGAAACAAAGTAGAAAATATAACCATATCAGAATAAGAAATGCAGAACTGAAGTACCAAAAAACTATAATCATTCATCTTTCAGAATCAGCCTCAGGATTCAGTTTCCTTAGGTTTTTATTTTTCCTCCTTGTGTTTATAGTCTTTTCCTGTTTTTCTCTGAGAAAAAA